TGTATCAACAATAATGCGAAGTTCGAACAATTGAGCTTTTCAATCTTGTACCTTGCTTCGTCCACCATTACTTCCACTCAATATGAAGAACCTTGCTTTGATACCAATTATTTGGGAGAGACATGATGAGATTAGGAGTAAACACCACAATGACGAAATAAGCAAGAAAGTAAAAGCAACAGAAAAGTAAAGGATACCAGAATTTAAAGTGGAAAAACTCAAAATAGGGGGAAAAATCACGGAGCCATACCCCACCAAGAAATTCACCATAAAAATTGGAAGAAATAAGTACAAATCTCTCTTGTCTCTCACTCTCTCCTGGCTTTTCTTCTCACATGCACCATTCTTACACTTTCCCTAACTAAAAATATAAGAGAAAGCCAAATAAAATAATCCCAAGGGACACAACCTTTCAGAGAAACGAGAAAGAAAACCATCATGTCCATCTTGCAACACTGCGGCGCCAATTTAGGGCGCTGTGACGCCCACTCTCTGTTTGAAAATGCTACAACGCTTAAACACTCAACACTGCGGCGTTCAGTCTCCGTCTTGCCCACTGCGGCGCCATATCTCGACTGCTGTGGTGCTTTACTCTCTGTCGTTCAACGCTATGACACTCGGGTATGCAGCGTCGGGGCGTTGTACAGAAAAAATTTCTGGTACAAAGCACTCAAACCCAAGCATTGGGTAAACCTCCTGCACCCTCCAATGTACACGACAAGCTTTGAGGTCAGAGATAACAGAACAACCTGATTAATAAATACAATCAGATTCCACACATAACAGAATATCTATCAAGTCTAGCCTATGGACAATAAGCAATCATATGCCCAGTATGACTTAGGGGTGCAAACGAGTCGAGAGTTATCTCTAATGTTTAGAACTAAGCAAGTACATATGAAGGAGATTATTTATTCTACATTTATCTATAATGGTTTTTTAAAAGCTGCAGCATTTATTAAAAGTAATATTATTAATGTTTAATTACTAATTTTTTTAAATATTACTCTGTTTAATTATTAATTTTTTTTATATTAATGATGATTCGAGCCGACTTGCGAGCTCACAAGCAAAGTCTCATCAAACTCGAGATCATAGCTCAATAAGCTAGGCTCACAAGTTCATTAACAAGTCGAGCTTGAGCCGACTCAGCTCCCTTACACCCCTAGTATGACTACATCAAAAACACTGCCCAGTGATCCAATAACAATTACATAGATGTCTTCTGCCACAGTTCTGACAAATAGGTGCACTACTAACAAATCCTCTAGAACCTGCTCCATTGCCACCCACAGAAATTGATACAAATGGGCTTCTCTTAGAATCTACAGGTTCAAACCTAATCCTCTTCCCACTGAAGCTACTCCCAGAAGTTTCTCCTCCACCAAACCTCTTCCTACTAGGAGACCATCATTACTGAGAAATCATCTAATCTTTCTCTATCAATCTAGCTCTCTCTACTAGCTCACAAAAATTAGTGATGTGGAATAGTATTAGTGGTTGCATCAAATTATCTCGAAGTCCTCTCATAAAGGGCCAGAACTTTTCTCTAAAAGTACTAACAAATCGTAGAGCCTATCTGGTTAATATTCCGCCTCATACTGCATCGCAGACCTGTTACCCTGCACTAGTCTCAAAAATATCTCATGTATTTGTTGTCTAGCAGAAGTAAGATACAAAACAATCTTGAAATATCTCAGTGAACTCAAGATATCAGAGCATTCAATCATCCTTACAGAACTCTCCGCATCCAAGCACTGCATACCATCAAATGTTTTCTATAATCTCATGATTCAGTCCTCTGAGGCTCTATAATACCCTCAAACCTCAGCTGCTTCAAACTCAGAAGCATTTGCAGATGCCTGCCAATATTATCAGATCTAGCAGTAGACATCCTACTATGGGCCTCCCATCAATTGTGTTGTCAATTCAACAAACTATGAGATGAAATCAGAACTAATAGCCCCTATTGTACTCTCTACTGACAAAAACAGAATGCACACAGGTGAATAATAAATTCACATGAAAACAAAATAGAATGAACACATGATACCACCCAGAACTCTCCCACTCTAACTATAGATCAATCCTATGGAATATGGATTTGATATAATTAATTCGTCCAAACCATTGCTCTAATACCAAGAATTTCTGTCACAACCCAACTCAATATAATCCACAGACGGAATAAGTCATACCGCATACATCAGATCTAAAACCAAATACATTGAGTGTAATTTTAATAGTAATAGAACTAGTGGTGTGATTGTGATATTGGCTAATCAAGTCATTAAAAAAAGTGCTCATTTAAGATATATCGAGTATGTTGTTCAAAGTAATAGTGAAATAGAGGAAGTTGGATTGTTGAAGTGGAGGTATGTCAGTCCTATTGAGAGTTAGAAAAGTACCCTTAAAACTTATGAAAAAATATTATAAGATGGTGGTGAGACTTGCAATGTTTTATGGCGTAAAATGTTGGTCATTAAAAGGAAGCATAAAATTAAGTTAAGAGTTGCAAAGATGAGGATACTTATGTGGATGAGTAGCTTTATAGTCGCCTTAGATAGTTTTGTCCCATAAAACGTCGAATGTATTAGATCCAGCCTATGTTAAGAAAGGTAGAGATATAGACCTAAAAAGGCTTAGAAAGTATTAAAAATAATCTTTTTAATTATATTTAAATGAGAATTTGACTCTTAATAGAACACAGCGGATAAAAAGGATTCATGCCGCCAACCACACATAGTGGGATCAAGGTTTTTCTTATTATTGTTAACATCATATAAGTTGATGATACTCTATTATATAAATAGTGTCACAAAAATGCTTATAAGAGGAAGAAGAGCACAAGAAAAACAAAGCTTGATTCTAATCGTCCACCCATAATACCTATAATCCAAAAATCTTTGATAATTGAAATAAAGTCATCATGATATAATTTAATGTGCATACTTTATTGCATTTATGGCAAGTACAACTAAATTCTGAAAAAAAAAAATTGTTGAGGAGGTTTTTGGTTGACATTAGCTTGAGCCATAACCCTTTCGTCATCATCTTAAGACCTTTGTCAATACCTCATTCACCAAAAATAGTTGAATTATCGAAAGAGCCATTCATTAAACTCTTTTTTTTTTTCTCATTCACTTCTAATCCAGGCACATTGAAATTCCCCATGAGCATCTCAATAAGTACCTACTACAACAACATACCTCATATTTTGGTTCTCCAAAGCCCTAAATTCTTTGAGGCATTAAATTTGGACTCATTCTTTTAATCCATCGCCACATTACACTTTAATAATATTTTTTAAGAAAAAAATATATAATTTTTAATGGGAATGTGCCGACCAACAAAAAATATAATAAACACAAAATAATAACCAAGAGATCAAATATCATAAAAGGGCAACAAAAATTGCATGGTTCAATCAAAAACATATCTTACGTCCATGCGATAAGAGAGGATTTGATTCACTATAGAGTAGCCCCATATGTGTACCATAAAAGGAGCAGAAGAAAACACTCATCTCCAAATCAAAGTAAACAAAATCTAACATTAAAGAGAAGCTCCAATCTCTCAAGCCAAGCAAAAGAGAAAATAAACAATTCTTTAAATAATACCAAAAATCTCCGCTTGAATGCCTCTCAAAACAATACCATCATGCTTGCACTGTGTAAATATAATTCTCTACAACCACAAAATAATGAGCCAAGATAAATTATTTCTTCTTCTTCTCTCTCTCCCCTCTTTTTTCCATTCTTTTATTTAACTCTTCTTCTATTTCCCACTTATATTCCTTAGTTTCTCTAAGACCTGATTTCCCAAAACCAACTATCTATTTACCCAAGAAGCAGTTAGTCCATGCAAAGGAAAAATTACAGCTAGCACAGCAAACAACTAAATCTCAAATGAAACCTAAATCTCAATCAAGTTCAAATTTTGATTTGGAGCTATCCAAACTTACAAATTCTGCAACAAACTTAAAACCTGATATTACATAAAATAAAAGTAGAATTTTTATCTATCCTAAAACCACCTATTTTAAATTTTATGCTTAACTTGGCAAAACTATTAAGTCAAAACCTAACATGTTTGGCAACTAATAAAAAATAAGATTCAGAGGCAAAAAACTTTTGAGCTTCCTACTGCCTGCAATTATGCACCCCTGCGAGTATTTACCTGACTATAGTTCAATTCAAAAGTATTTTTTACTAGCAGACCGGCATAGCAACTTTAATTATAGATTTCTACAGTAAAACTAGTGCAGATAAAAGACTCTTATGGGCTGTTTGGTAGCACCCAAGATTTGATTTAAGTAGGATTTCGTAAATCCTCTAAATCCGGATTAGAGAACTATTTAGTAACTGCGAGTATTTACCTGACTATTAAATCTTGTTTGACTGTTTGGCTATAGAGCGGATTTAACGAGCAGGCTCTTCGAGACCTTCCTCTCGAGTCAAGGGATTTCATAAATCCGGCAAAAAATAGGATTTCAGATATCCGGGATTTAGCAGTTAGCACAAAAAGGCAGAATTTTCTTTCATTTGCCGTGAGATTTGGTTTTGCATTTAGGCCATTGGCTGGATTTCGCTCAAATCCGCCTCAAATCCAACCGAAATCCTGCTACCAAACAGCCCCTTAAGTAAAACCATGGACCATGTTTGCAACGCAATAGGCAGGAGGAATCGCTTTACTCTGTACTGATCATAATATGCAGACTATTTGTTAATCTCCCGATTAACCACGTAAGATGAAGGATAAGACATATTTAGAAGGCATCACCATAGTCAACATTAGCTATATCACAACAATTTAGACTACAACTGAACACAAGGAAAAGCACAAAAAGTGAATTTGGAAAAGAGAGGACTGTCTCGCAACAATATGTAGTCATTGACCGCATTTCCCCCACCTTAATGGGTATGTAGAGAAAACAACAACCAGTCTGTAACTGAAGCATTGTTGATTACGGAGCTAATGAAAGGAAGACATCGTCCTACCTGAACAACTTCTTCTGACATAGAGACGCATCTAGGGGTATATTGATCTCTCGGCAAGATCCTAATGTGGGTTCTGGTCTCATTCCTCATCTGCTCGATGATCTTCCCTCCCTTCCCCAGCAAGCAACCGACATGCATCCTCGGTACCACAAGCCTCGTCGTCACGCGCCCCCTCTCCCTACTCCTCTCACCTCCTCCCCACATGCCGCCGTCTCCTTCATAGTCCTCCTCGTCCTGATCTCCATCTTCAAAATCCATATCCAAGATCCTCTCGTGAATAAGCAGAAGTGCCTCCTGCGCAGGAGAGTACTGCGGCGGCCGACCGTCCTGCTCGCGCCGCCGGCTATCCGCGGTCTCGATAATCCGCTCGTCGTCTCCCGGAACGAGGTCGTGAACATTAATCCAAGCGCCAGTGTCTTGCCGGATGTTCTTGATAATACTCCCCGACTTGCCGATGACGCCGCCGATTTTCGCGTCCGAACAAAGGATGCGGAAGAAGGTCGTGACAGAACCGGCCGGCGGCGAACCGTCAAGGATCTTTGAGGAAGATGAGGAGGCGAGGGGAGGAGGAGGGGGAGGGGGCGGGGGTGGAGGGGAGGATGCTGTCTCCGGTCGCTATTCCGGCGGTGATGATTGAGGCGGCGATGGCTGCTGCCGTCATAGCGGAGTTTAGTTCTCGGGGGAGGAGGAGGAGTCTGAGAATCGGAGTCCTGGTCGTAGTGGTGGTAGCTCCGCTTGGAGCGAGGTCGATCCATTACTACGTTTTGCACTTCTAGAACTCTTCGTTTTCCCCTTACATTCAATCTCCTAGTGAAGTTGGAGATTTCAGGTATTCCAGCGTTCGATTTCTACCGCTCGCCGGTCTGTCCTCCGGCGGACATTGCAGCAATGGTACCCAATTTCAAGCTCATCTCCAATATTAGGAGAATTAGCCCGAGTCGGGCCGATTGGCATGCTCAATGGCTATAGTGAATTTGTTTTGGTAGTCACCAAAAATAAATTGAAAACTTTACTGTGAAAATGAGATTTTAACATAAAGATTAATAAATATTATAGTATATATATATTATATATATATGTAGTTAATAAATATATATATAATATTTATATATATATAATATATATATAATATATATATATATATATATATATATATATAATAATATATATAATTATATAATATTAAGCAGAGTAGGTAAAGTCTCCCTTTAAGAGTTAGCTAACACACAGCTCACCTTGACTTGTTGGTTGAGAGCTTATGCTTCCAACTAAGAGGTCTTGGGTTCGAGTTTTTGTGTATGCGTTTTGTGTGTGAGTTTGCCTTAAATGGCCTAAATGTCCCAAAAAAAAAAGAGTCAGCTAACTAATTATCAGAAGAAAATTAAGATTAATATGGGCGAATGGGCGACTTATATCATGAATTTTTTTAATGAAAGAATTTGTTATTTTTATTAAGAATTAATTAACAGGGGGAGTGAGTTTGTAATTGATTAGTACATTACAGTTAATGTGGAGAATGTTTGTTACGCCTAATTGTAAATAATTAGTGATTGTTATTATGTTATTGTAGAGCAATAGTGTATTGTTATTTTATTTGATTAGTAATTTGAATATTTAGTATCAAACATGTTAGAATATTTACATTGTCATAATTGATGACATTGGATCCTAAAGTACTTGTGACAAGTATGATTTTAAACATGTGACTTGAGCTGTAAATTTGTGTTGTTCCATCGGTTAGTATTGTCAGAATCTTCTTTATTATTATTGCATTCTATTCGTGATTTTTTGCCTTTTTTTTTAATTTAAGCTTTCTTACTCAACAATTTTTATTTCAATATAAATCTGTATGCATTTCTAGAGCTAATGTATTAAATTAATATTGTATGTAAATATATAATTGTTGATATAAGAACTTCAACATAATTATAATAATTTTTCAGATGATTTTTTAGTTTTTATTCTTACTAATATTATTTTGGTTTTTTTATGTAAGCATTTGACAAGTCTTTTATTGAAAAAATATTTTTAAAAGATTATAATGGTGTTGTTTTCTAAAATTATTATATTCAATAGTCATGGGACTCATTTTTTAATATTTATATTGGTGCACTCTAGGACCTGCAATTGAGAAAACAGACAAGCAATACAGGAAAACATGGAAGATTTAATGTAAAAGGCGTCAATGGCCTGTATATTCACTTGAAAATAGAGATTTCAAGAGTTGCAGATTGATCAAAAAACTATCTACCTCCCGGAGTCTGCTTCTCTAAATAAGTTCTAAAACCCTGTAGCTAATTTTATTACTTTGTAACTCCTGTAGCCGTAACTACTTGTTTCTAAAACGAGTGTAGCAAAAGAAAAGGAACAATAGTACTTATATATAACTAACATAGTACTATAAGTAGTGGAAGCAGAATTAAGGGTATGATGGCCCTCAGGTGTGTTGTAGCACGGTTGACACTGCATCAGTCCTCCCCGCAGAGGAAGAGCTCGACTCCGACGAGCTGATTATATGGACTGTATCATCAGGAGGATGGTATGGCCAAATATCAGACACATTGAAAGTTGGCGAGGTATTGTAACCACTAGGTAATTCTACCGTGTATGCATTGTCATTTATTTTGGCAATGATTGGAACAGGGCCGGCGGCTGAGTTTAGTGTAAGTATCGGGTGCAAACCGTTCGCGGCGCAGTCGTACCATAACGAGATCACCGACCTTGAAAAGCACCTGTCGTTTGTGAAGATCGGCGGCAGCTTTGTATTTCTGATTGGCGTTATTAAGCTGGGTGTGGACATCTGCAAGCATGCGTGAGTACTGTCCAGTGAACTGTGAAGCCGGCAGGGACTTGCACTTAGGGAGAACTGCTACATCCAGAGCCAAGTTAGGTAATTTAGTGAAAACAATACTGAAAGGAGATTTACCCGTGGAGCGGTTAACCATGGAGTTGTAGGCGAACTCAGCGGTGGTTAATACTTCCTCCCATTTCTTTGGATAGTCTTAGACTAAACAACGAAGCATGTTCCCCAAGGTACGATTAACTACTTCCATTTGCCCATCAGACTGCGGATGATATGCAGAGCTCAGGCGTACATCTGTGCCGAGACGTTTCCACAGCTCTCGCCAAAAATGGCTAATGAACTTGACGTCTCGATCTGAAGTGAGGCTTCTCGGGATGCCATGTAAACGAACAATTTGGTGAAAGAAGAGTTGATCTATGTGGAGGGCATTCGACGTCTTTTTACAGGCGACGAAATGGGCCATTTTTGAAAAACGGTCGACAACCACCATGATGGAGTCATGCCCTTTTTGAGTTCGAGGAAGGCCGAGGACGAAATCCAGGCTGAGGTCTTCCCAAATGGTGTCCGGAACCGGAAGAGGCAAATACAGTCCTGTATTTTGGGCAACACCTTTATAATTCTGACATATAGTGCAACGGTCAATAAATCGAAATACATCTCTGCGGAGGCGTGGCCATAAGAAACGACTCTTGAGTTGAGCCAACGATTTATCACGGCTCGTGTGGGCTGCTAGGGCGCCACAATGTGCCTCTCGAATGAGATGTTGACGCCAAGACGAGATAGGCACGCACAACAGGTTGTTGTGGAAAAGAAATCCATGTCTTATAGTGTACTCAGGAACAGTTTCTTGGTTTTGACACTTACGCCAAATTTCAGAAAAATCGGCATCTGTAGCGTAAAGATCTTTTAATGATGACAAACCAGTGAGCTCGGTTTGTAGTTGAGTTAAGAGCATGGATTTACGGCTGAGGGCGTCAGCTACTGTATTGTTCTTGCCCGGTTGGTGCTTAAGCACAAAGGAGAATTTCTGCAGAAATGAGACCCAGCGGGCATGCATCCTATTGACGTGCTTTTGCGTATTAATGAACTGAAGTGCCTTATTGTTAGTGCATATGACAAATTCTTGGTGTAGTAGGTAGTGTTCCCACTGTTTGAGAGCACGGATGACTGAGTATAATTCCTGTTCGTATGCGGACCAACGTTGTCGAGAATGGTAGAGTTTTTCACTAAAGAATGCAACTGGCCGTCCCTCCTGAGAAAAAATCGCGCCGATACCCACGGCGGAAGCATCTGTTGCCACAGTGAAAAGTTTATCAAAATCAGGTAGAGCGAGTACTGGAGCAGAAGTAAGGGCGGCTTTAAGAGCATCGAAGCTACGTTGCTGCTGTTCGCCCCAACTAAAAACTTTTGATTTCAAACAATCGGTTATAGGGCTCATGATAAGGCCAAAGCCTTTAATGAATTTCCGATATAAGTTTGCAAGGCCGTGAAAACTCCTCACGTCGAAGAGGGATGTTGGCGTCGGCCAAGTGAGAATTGCGGATACTTTATCTGGATTCATTTGTACGCCTTCTTGGGAGAGCAGGAAGCCCAGAAAATGCACCTTAAGTGTAGCAAACTCGCATTTCGGTAGATTGAGAAATAATTTATGCTCTTGTAGTATTAGGAAAATTTTTTGTAAGTGATCAATATGTTGATCTGTATTGCTGCTATATACCAGAATATCATCAAAGTAAGCGATGCAAAATTGCCCCCGGAATGGTTTGAGAATGAGCTGAATCATGCGCATAAAAGTTGAAGGGGCGTTGCAAAGGCCGAATGGCATGACGCGCCATTCAAAGAGGCCAAAAGGTGTCTTAAAAGCTGTTTTCCATTCATCGCCAGGATGAATCCTGATTTGATGATAGCCATTGCGCAAATCTAATTTAGAGAACACGGCTGCCCCATTGAGATGATCCAAAAACTCCTCAACTCTAGGTACCGGAAACCGGTATTTAACTGTTATCTTATTAATAGCTTTGATGTCCACACAAAGACGCCATTCGCTGTTTTTCTTAGGTACAAGCAATGCTGGGACAGCACATGGACTAATACTAGTTTGGATCAATTGCTTTTGTAACAAATCGTCAACAAGGGATTTCATAATCTCTTGCTCCCTGGGATTGAGTCGATAATGTGGTAAATTCGGTAGAACTGCATTAGGCAAGAGGTCAATTTGATGTTGTATTGACCGTAGCGGAGGCAGTGAACTAGGAAGTTCATTAGGACAGACATCACGGAATTGTTCCAGTAATTGACGAACCTCTTCTAGAATCTGTGACTGAGTTGGAGTAGTGTTGTCTGTGACTATCACGGCCCACAAGGGTTCCTTTTCATTCACAGCTAATAGCAAATTTGGTCCAGAAACAACTTGTAATACTGGTGTATTGCTTTTGTTAGCAGCTTTGGTCTTATCATCCTGTGTCTTCGGCAATAGTCGAAGACGTTTACCCTTCCAATCCAGTGAGTACACATTGGCTCTACCGTCAAACAGGACACCGGCGTCGAACTGCCAAGGGCGACCGAGGATTAAATGACACACGTCCATGTCTAGTACGTCACATAATACATCACAGACATATTGACGGCCTATTGAAAAAGTCACTTGACACATATCTGTGACTGGAATATCGACGCCTTTTCATACCCAACTAATCCTGTACGGGTGAGGATTCTTTGTCGTTTTCAAATTAAGTGCTTGTACCACTGAGCAAGCTATGATGTTTTCTGTGCAACCACTGCCGATGAGAAGATCACAAACCTTTCCACTGATGGTGCAGCTCGTTTTGAAAATGGCATTGCGCTATGAATCAACTTGTTGGCGGGGTGCAATTAAGAGCTTCTCAATGACACAAATCACTGGATCACCCTCATCTCCTTCAAGATCTTCGGCAGAATTTTCCTTGGCTTCATCAATTTGTTCCAGAGAAGCTTCATGGTCATTTTCTAGCAGCTGAAGTTGTTGACGTTGAGGACACTCATTCGATTTATGGCCCGGCTGAAAACATCGGAAACACTTTAGTGTCGCCGGTTTAGCAAGGGATTGGTGGAGACAGGTGGCTTAGCCTTGAGCTGAAATTTACTGTCAGATGAAGCTGCTTCCGATTTTGAAGACACACTGCTGGGTCCCGAGGAAGAAGAGGAAGGTGTCGATTTGTTGAATCCCTTGCCAGAATCTGCAATTGAATCTGCTAGAGGTCTGCGGCTCTGATACCAAATGCTGGTGCACTCCAGGACCTGTAATTGAGAAAACAGACAAGCAATACAGGAAAACAGGGAAGATTTAATGTAAAAGGCGTCAATGGCATGTATATTCACTTGAAAATAGAGATTTCAAGAGTTGCAGATTGATCAAAAAACTATCTACCTCTCGGAGTCTGCTTCTCTAAATAAGTTCTAAAACCCTGTAGCTAATTCTATTACTTTGTAACTCCTGTAGCCATAACTACTTGTTTCTAAAACGAGTGTAGCAAAAGAAAAGGAACAATAGTACTCATATATAACTAACATAGTACTATAAGTAGTGGAAGCAGAATTAAGGGTATGATGGCCCTCAGGTGTGTTGTAGCACGGTTGACACTGCATCATATATGCTGGTGCAAGCAACTTAGGGAGGAGCTTGCCTCGACCAGAAGATCTCATACTAGAGATGCACTCATATAAGTCATGCCTCACTCAGAGGAGCTTGGCTCGACTGGAGGACTGCGTACCCCATCAACAAGAGATGTACACCTAATCAAACTTAGCTATATCAATTGTACCCACTTAATTGACACATTAATATAGCAAGTACTTACCAAGGGCACTCGTCTCACCAAAGACACTCGCCAAAGTGACTCACTAGATGCATGCACCAATACCCAGCCAAGTCAGATACAGCGGGCATGTATATTCATCCTAATTAATACATGTGTCTATTATGGTCAATTATTGTCCTATTTTATTATTTTTATAAGTGTAGTCTCTTTTGTAGGCTTCCCAACCTTATAACTAATGGGTTGAGAGGCATTTTTGAGACTTTTTTTAGGCCGCTATAAATATGATATTGGGTATAGAATAAAGCTTCTTCTTATTCACTATCTCTCTTTCTCCATTCATCGCCTTAGCTGGTCTTCGACTCTCATGAATAAATTTAGATTCAACAATTGTAGTTGTCATACATACCTAGTATAAAATGAACAAACTTGACTCAAACAATAGATATACAACTAAAAATAAGTTTATAGAGTTATACATGTGCAACATAAAAATGAAAGAACATACATCAAAATAGTTGTATATATGCATGTATAATTCTAAAGTTTAGTGTATATGATTGTATAAACTTATGCACATCATAAAAAATAAAAGAATATGCCTCAAAATTGTTATATAAGTGTGTAAAGCCTTAAAATTAAAAATTTAACATTATAAGCACATATATCACTTAAACTAACATTTAAAATGAAATACTCTGCATTAAACTTACATCTTCATTTACTAATAGTGGAGAAATATCTTTGCTTGTGAGCACTATATTGCTTATCAACTCAAATGATGCTCTCGCTCTTAGACTCTCAACATCTTGTTTGAACATTTTTTTATTCTTATAAGAATATTATTTCAACAGTGCACAAATTTTGTTTGAATGTTGTTCAAATCTTATTTGAATATTGCACAAACTTGTTATAGCCATGTTCAAATATTGCATGAATTATATTCAAACTTTATTCACATCGCTAAAAAATTCAAACAAGATTCAAAAAAGATTTGAAAACTTTAATCACATTGCTACTATGATATCATATATTGTTATTTGTTTAAGATTTAGAGTATGAACACATACTCAAGCTTAAATAATTAAAAGTATAACATCAGTAATCCTGAATAGATGATGATTGAAAAGTCGAAACAATTCTTGTGAAGTTTTACCTCACACTCACACCAATGACCCGAACGCTAAGATTGTCGGGGATGGAGAAGATGTTGATGGGTTGATCATTTGAGTAGCTCTATTGTTTAAAAATTCTTGTAATTTTTAAGTGATGGTTTCTTTTCATTTATTTTTTAAAATAAATATATGTCTATAAATTTTAACATGTAAATAGACTTTGTGAATTTTCA